GCTGCTGCAAGAACACGACGAAGCCAACGACTGGCGTCCCGTCGGATATTGGTCGTATTCGTTAAACGACAGCGAACGCAACTACAGCGCTACGGAACGCGAGTGCTTCGCTGTAGTGTGGGCCGTCCGCACACTACGCTCGTACGTCGAGGGCACGAAGTTCACCGTCCGAACGGATCACGACGCGCTGAGGTGGCTCATGTCCCTGACCGAGAGCTCCGGAAGGCTCACCCGGTGGCGGCTACGTCTGGCTGAATACGATTTCACCATTCAGTACCGCCCCGGGCGCGTGCACCAGGTCCCCGACGCCCTGTCACGCCTCGTATCACCGAGGGTCGCCGACGACCCTCGCCCGGCTGTCGAGGTGGACGACGACATCCCCACCTACGACAGGTGCACGACCGTTCATGATGTCTCGGATGAGCTCGCGGACCACGTATGCACCGCGAGCTGCGACCACGAGGCCGACAACGTCTTCGTGACCACAAGGAACCGAACGAAATCTCGAAGGAAATTGTGCGCCCGAGCGCGCGACGAGCCGAGGGGCGACGACGAAGTCCCTGCTCTAGAAGAACCCGACGCGTTCTGGGCAGAGAACGAGGAGTTCGACGCCGTGGACCTCAATCGCGCCCAAGACTTCGAAGCCGATACGTCCAGTTCCCAGGTCGCCCCTCCGCAGGACGACCTGCCGGCCCCTCTTACGATAGAGGAGATAGCCGAGGAACAACGCGTGGATGACTTCTGCCAAACGGTATTAGCACGACAGTCAGAGTCCCGGGACTCCGCGTTCTTCGAGGACCACCAAGGGCTGCTCAAACGGAGACACCCCTTCGACCCTGATATCGTACAGGTGGTGGTACCTCGGACTCTACGCGCCCGGTTGCTGCGGCTCTGCCATAACCCGGCCATCGCCGGGCATCCGGCGCCGAACTGCATGTACTACGCGCTCCGTCGCGAGTACTACTGGCCACACTTGGCCGCGGACGTCGCGTCGACCGTACGAGGTTGTCAAACCTATGGGATGAACCGCGTCAAGTTTCGGAAACATCTAAACCGATTAAGGTTGTTTCCGGCGACGCGGCCATTGGAGAGCCTCGCAATCGATATACTGGGGCCTCTCCCAAAGACCAAGGCAGGGAAACGATTCCTCCTGGTAATCACCGACCGCTTTACGAAGTTAACGCAGGTCGTCGCACTGCGCACGGTAACCGCCTACACCGTCGCAGTGGCGTTTTGCGAAGCGTGGGTCTTTAAGTACGGCGTCCCACGCTCGCTACTGTCGGATAACGGACCGCAGTTCAACGCAAAGTTCTTCCAAAGCACATGCCGAGTGCTTGGAATTACGAACCTTTATACGTCAGCGTACCACCCTCAGACGAACGGCCAGGTGGAACGCTATAACCGAACGATTGCGTAGATGCTCCGCAATTACGTGAACGAGCATCAAGACGACTGAGACGTGTACGTGGGACCGTTAACGTACGCATATAACTCCCACGTACACCGAACCACACGAACGCCCCGTTTAAGCTCGTGCTCAGCCGGCCTTCGCCGGAGTTTTCTCTTCGACGAACCGGTGGGGCCGTTCCACCTGCCAATAGGGGAACGCAGCATGCGGAGTTCCTCAAGACCCTGGACGCCACGATCCAGAAGGCCTACGGGAGCTTGCGACGCACGCAAGCACGTTACAAACGCGACTTCGATAAGCGCGTTCGAACGATCAACACACGTCTGGAGCCGGGTAACTTCGTCTACCTGAACCCCACCGACGAGGGCAAGACGTCGAACAAGCTCGCCTCGCCCGCCGTGGGGCCGTACCGCGTCCTCGCCAACGATCGTCGTACCGTCACAATCGATCGTGATGGTGTCACCGAGCGAGTGTCCGCAGACCGCTGTGTGTACGCGCCCCCGCCGATGGACGCGCCACGGGTGAGCACGACGACCCCGCGTGACCTTGCCGACAAGGTTCGGGAAGGAACACAGTACGCCGTTGAGAAGTTACTCAAGCATCGAGAGATGGAACACGGAACAACGGAGTTCCTCCTCAAGTGGGCGGACTACGACCAACCCACTTGGACAGCACGCACCCACATCCCCGAAGAATTGGTGTCTCGTTATGCGCTGCTTCTTCGAAGACGCACGGGGAGGGACCTCAGCTCCGAAGTGAACGCGGACGTTCACTCTTAAGGAGGGGGCCCCTCAACCGCTCCGTCGACCGGATAAATTAAACCCCCCCTTTGCGGTCCGAAAGGGCGGGGGTCTACGCAAGGACACAACGAGGTTGGCCGACCAACTTCGGGGAAGCATGGGATGTTCAGTTGAGGCGCGGAAAACGCAAGTTCACGCGACACGAAACGCCATCACCGACGAGAGGCGGGTCGTGGGACAGGGCGTACTGTGTCACGAACAGTAGCCCTGGGACGTCAAGAGAAAGGAGGGAGGACACGACCTCCCAACGAACACGACGACATGCGCCGGTGCGCTATACTCACGAAGCCGTTGCAGTTCCGTCGTGTGCAAATAGAGTACAGCGCACCGAGTGCGCTGGAAGACCATCAAGCCGACGTGATGGACGTCTTCCGAACGCGCCCGAAATAGGTCTCGGGCAGTCCGTACTGCCCGGGAGGGGACGATCCCTGAGGAAAGGGACCAGGCGAGCAGCAACCGCATGCGCTCGGTAAGTGCGCGCGCGCATAAGCAGTGACGCGTTCAATCAGATCCGAGGGCCGATGACGGAATGGAGGGGCAGCAGCGCAGTCAAACAACCGCCACCGGCCAAAAAAAATTGGAAATATAACTGGGGGTATGGAACGATGCCAACGACCCTCTGCTCCAGAACAAAGCCAAACAGCGATAGGAATCTCTGACAGGTGGACCCACCAAGTGCTCTCGAAAAGGTATTACGCCCCCATCCGTGGCGCGCAGAATTCGCACGCTGCGAGGGAGAATGGGCCCTCTGGACGAACCGACGAGCTTTCCAGACCCATTGCGGTCATCATGCAGTGGCAGGCACCTTTTGATCTTTCCAGATTCGCGCTACCGTAGTCGTTGACACTGCCTCTCAACTTCAAACGCGCGAGATTGCAGCGGCAGTACCTCATTCCGTACCCGTACAAATGCCTCAAGACGCGCGTCGCCCGGACAGTTACGAGTGATGCGAGTCGCTCGTGCAAAAGGGAAACTCTCACCGCTGCTTAATCCGCCAGCCCTACCGAAGGGTATGCACGCACGAGCTGTGAGGAACACGGCGGACACACGCTTACCGGGCATCCACAAAGATGACTGCCTGACGCGGCGACCCAAATTTTGCCGGACCAAGTCAGAGTACCGATGGTGTATGGTCAAGGACGCAGCAGGGGACTAGGCTGAGACCTGTGCCGGACGAGCCAGGGGGAATGCGAGTTATAAGGGAAGCAGGCGTGGAAATGGTGAGACGTCCTGCACCAAAAGCTTCCTAAAAGGACATACATGAACGTGCTCGTGGAGAGGAGGGCGAGTCATCAGACGCCCGCAGAGCAGGACGCTTGCCGCAAACGGAAGACGAGCGATACGCTTGGTCGGAATGTTCCATCCGTAACACCTCACGAGGCATTTCCCATGTGGATCACGCTCTACGATCTCAATGCTGTCTCGTTCGGCATGCTCAAGGGACGGACACCACCGAAACACGATTGGGGGTAACGCCGTAGCCGATGTAGATCAGAAAAATGTGACGATGTACGAACACCGGTGCGGCGCGTGTGACGGAAATCGCCCCCTCGCCGAATGCTCACAGCGCGATGCATACCCAATCTAGGGGTGACTCGGGTGGAAGACGCGGAGGTGCGGAAAGAAGAAATACGAAAGAACAAGTACCAGTCAGGAAAGAAACCGAAGAGGTCCGTTAATGGTATCAGGGTACATTCGCACCTACGACCACTACAAATGAAGTCAACGACCATATTTTTTGGCCGTACACGCGATGTCGAGCTCGTCGGACGTCGGTAGAAAGTAGCTGGAGTGACATGGGAGAGCCGCTTCCATCTCTACAAGGGCGGGTTGGATGCTACCGGAACGATCGTACTGCACGCACGCCCCGCGATGCCAACGTATACACGGGCCTCGGGAGCGATCAGAGACTCAGGTGCGTGCCGTCTGCTCCCTCAGTTGACAAGGGAGAGAAGGAGCTAGCTCTGCACGCACCCTTCGCGACGAGGCAGGCTCCGTTCCGGGCACCACCCTATAGGCGCATGCTACAATGATGTCGTACATACGACCGTCCGTGACCCCGAACTGCCCGACGCCCCCATCCCTGGGTGGACGCTCGGAACTGAAGGGAAGGCTCGTGACGGAGAACCGCACACGTACTCCCTCCCCCACGAAAGGGGGGTATACAAGGCGGAAGTGGGCCCGCGCAACGGACGTTGTAGAGAGGAACCGTGCTGTACCTACACGGCGCGACGACGTTGTATTCACGGACTTTCATGGCGAGCGGGGACACTGCCCTCGATGGAAGGTGGATAAACGGAGACTGCACCGCGCCTACCCCGTCTGCACGGCAAATCTCCCTCCTTTGTCAACTCGCGCGGGAAGGAGGCCGTACCTTTCGCCCCCCCCGCTCGCATCCGGTGAGGACACCCGGATACTCATCTCAGGCGGACGGAGAAGGATGAGCCGCCCACAACCGCATGCGTCAGACGGCACGCAGACTGCAAGAGAAAATAGGCAAGCGGATCACTACGCAGACCTCGGGACGGTGATAAACGGACGAGAGGCAAGACGAACTGTAGCCGTCTCCTCAGAAAACTACGAAAAAGGGTGCACCCCGGTGGACATATGCATTGCTGGAGCAAAGTCTAATTCTGACGTCGTTGCGTTCTAATTTTCAGAAGAATTTGGAGCAGCGCATGACAATGCATCCCTCACAGCCCGTGCTAGGAAATTTTGCAGAAAAGATTTTGGCGGGAAACAATTTTGCAAATGATTTTTGGGATGATTTCATTAGGGACTCAAGGCCAGTCCTAACAAAGGACTTTTTTCTCGTTTTTCCTTTCCCTCGCCCCGTTTTTATTGAATTCTTCACTAAAATCGGAAGCACATTGCTGTAGTTTTACTGTAATGCCATCCCAAAGTTCCACTCCTCGGAAATGGAACAGAGTCTGGAGGGTCTGCAGATCCATGCAGCATGGAAGGTACAGCAACGCCTCCTCGCGCATGCACATGGCCCAATCTGACTCCCTGTAGCTTGACAAAAGCAAAGCTGGACGACGTGTTGCTATAATGAGGTCCCTCGATGTGCATGACCAAAACGGTCATGATAGATCAGCAACCGCCAGTATCCAACACAGTCCTCCCCAGCACTCCCTTTCCTTCGTCAGGGTTTCAAACTTCTTCTCTACCAATGAAGTTAAGTCCTGAAATCCACTGCCGAATTGAGCTCGTCCTATTGCGAATGCGGCGTAGAAGGATGTTTTTGTACCTGCTCGCGGCTGCGGCAATTCTTCTCAATTCCAAAAAGACAAGAAAACGCGGAAAGTACGCCTGGAATTGCGTTTGCGGGAACAACTGACGTTTGAAAATTTGACTCTGGTGTATGATGACGCTTTGTTCGGCAGGGCTTTCAGAATGCCACGCCAAGCGTTTCATGAATTGCTTAGTAGCGTTAGGCAGTCTCTCCAGAAGAATATCGAAATGGGACGACGGGCAAAACGACGGACCATTCCACCGGATGTACGCCTTGCCGTGACGCTGAGATGATGGCTGGCGCAAGTTATCTAGACTTAATGGGTACTTATCAGATGTCTAAGACATCAGTTTACAATGTGTTTCATTCTACGTGTACAGTATTGTCAGAAAGATTGCAGCTGCCCAGGTTGCCGTCCACAGTGTCTGGTTTACGTCACTCGGCAAAAACTTTCAAGATGTCTCGTAATCCCCCGTCTCCGCTTTCTGGTTGCGTTGGCGCTTTGGACGGTATAGCCATCAAAATCAAGAAGCCCGCGTGGTGCCACGCACCGAGCACTTTCTTTTGTAGAAAGCTGTATTATGCTTTACCTGTGCAGGCTATAGTTGACGCTGACTATAGATTTTTATGCTGCTCGGGGCGTTGCGTAGGTTCAACTCATGACTCTGTGGCCCACACTGTATCAGCACTTGGGCATTATCTAGAATCTGGCAAGTTGCATTTCGAGTGTTAGATAGCGGGGGATGAGGCATATGTTTGTACGGAGTCTCTGATTACGCCCTATCCTGCAGCCAGTGCGACGGACGCGGAAGACGCATTTAATTATTATCATTCTTCCCTCCGAATGCATGTAGAGCAAGCTTTTGGGATGCTAGTCGGTAAGTGGAGGATCTTGAGCCAACTCAGTTTTTCGCTACACACTAACGCGCGTTTAATTGTTCTTTCTATGAAGTTGCATAATTTTGTTCTCGATCGTGCAGATGTGAGGATTACGAGAAGTTTTACTGGGGAAGAATTGGCCGAACTGGAGGGCGATGAGCAGGGTTAGTATCGCAGGATGAAGGATGACGCCGCAGAGATTGTGGCGAATACCAAGGAAGCCCGTCGTGAGCTGTCTAGAAAACGGAGGAGCATGGTTGACATTATAGAAGGAAGGGGCCTATCGAGACCACCGGTGATAGATGCAGAGGGCCTCCGAAAAAGAAGTCGAAAGTAGTTAGCCTGTGTTTTTACCTTGTCATCGTGGCCGAAACCAGTGTGGGTTGGCGGTGGGAACGCGCAAGTCCTATCAAGGCTCGGTCTCCTCGCTGGGCTTGATAGCGCGTGTAGTCTAGGATGCAGGTCACTGCCACCACCTTAAAGAGCCGCCATGCCGCATGCATCGGACGACTGTGAAAAGCCGCGGTTTCGCGCCTCCTATTCTCGACCTTCTGCTTGCGGAGGGGGGTCAAACCTCCGGCGCCCTTCGCAGTCACCGTATCACCAACGCGCGCGGCCTTTCTCGCATACATGAGCAGTTCGGGGCGGTCCAGGTCGCCTTGTCCTGGCAGTTAAGCCTTCGGTGGGAAGGCCCGCGCTCGTTGAGCCACGATAGCAGTGGGGCGCCCTTGTCTGGCCAAGCAATTGCTGGCGACAAGTCATCCAGCAACCATTGGTTGCTGGGGTTGGCAACCCCAGCCGGCCTTCCGTCACGCCTCACGCCCACACGTGTCCACATGTCGCACCCCGTGCGAGATTTCGTGGCGCGTTTATGTGCATCACTCGGCCCTCCCCCGCCTCGACGCCCACGTGAAATTTGCGACAGTCGTTTGCTAGCATTTCACACTCTGTTTAGGAAACGGAGCACCACCGGACGGCAGAAGGGTACCCAGAGTTCAGCTTTTTGAAATCAAATCCCTCCTTGCCATCGATCATGAAATGGTGAGAAGCCGGGGAGGCTGCTCTCTAGTTCATGATCGATGATGAAGTGGCTTCGCCGAAATCCCTTTCCTGTGAACCACCCCGCCCTCGCTCCCTCCCCCCCGCCACCAACCCCCCTTCCCCGCCGAATATGACCACGTCCCCTCCTCCCCGCCACCCCTGCCTCGCGCCCGACCACCACGCCCCATCACCATCTTCCTCACCTCCTCAGTACCGTGACCAACACACATCCTCCGACATGCTATTGTCCTCGCCACCGCGTCATCCTCCTAACATCGACACAGACACAGTCTCTCCCCGCACCCTCCATCCCTTCCATATCTTTCGTTTCATATCTCAATCCAGCCCCCTCCATCCCCCCCTCCCTCCTCCCATATTCCTTCCCCCCCTTCCTTTAACCCCGGCCCTAGGCGTGTCATGTCCGCATACCCACTTATCGCCTTGACCGTCAACTCGCCCCCGGGCTTGCCCGCTTTCACCACCAAGCGACTTGGCACAGAGCTTGCATATCACCCGGAGCTCTCCTGTGAGAACCCCGACAAATTCCATTTCGCCATGGACCCTACCTCGCACCCTCACCACCACCACCACGATCACCTCGAGCCCTCCTCCCCGCAGCCTGCCGTCCCTGCGTGTAACGACCGCGCCGCCCCCGGCCCCAAGGAACCTCACCCACCTCCCACCCCACCGCCATGCACGACGCCCACGTGAAATTGCGACAGTCGCTTGCTAGCATTTTACAAACCAGACACAGTACCTTCTCCCGCCATTTTGTAGAGTGAGCGCTGTAGTCCCCCAAATGCTAGCTCGCTTACAGAAGCGTGTGCACAGGAACGGTTCCCGGCGCCCGTCACGGCCTCAAATCGTAGCCGTCGGGCGCCCATCAGAGGCCGCCCAGTGCCCACTACAGTGACATACAGTGACGCGCGGTCACGCGATTTTGAACCCGCCATTTTGCCGCATCTACATTTCCCAGCTCCTCCCCGCCCGAACCGCCCAGCTCGCCGCCATGCCCTCACCCGCCTTCGTCCTCGCCTTTCTCCGCGCCCTTTATATGCTAGAAGTTCTCCCTCTCTGTCCGAAGAAACCCACACAAGTCAAGCGCCATGACAAGGGCGCGTAATACTATTTCCAAAGCTCTCCGCTCCCCGCTTGCACTCCGGCGATCTCCTCGACATTTTACGCAGACACGACCTGCAACACACCGAGCTGCCGATCAGATCGCTTGCGACACTGCACGTGTACTCGATGCCAGCTTCGCGCAGGAACACAATGAATCTACTTCCATACCCACTCCCCAGAACCCAGGGGCAAGCTCCGTTTTTGATTCCCCTTGTCCTCCATCTCCCTGTAAGCTCTTCGTGAACCCCCCGTCATTTCCGCCAAGTATCGGCGCGTCTGGTCAGGACAATATTACTGCTCACAATGACCGGGTGCTCGACCCACATTCTCAGGGGAAGAGTCGAGCTGCTCCAGAAACACCCGAGGTCAAGGACAGACGTCTCATGTTCTCATACTTTAAATCCCTGAAGAAGAAGGAGCATCAAAAAATGGCGAGGCATTGGAAGAGGAAAGCATACGGAAAACTCAACGAGATCATGTTGAGAAACTATCGCTATGTGGTTTTTCTTCATATTGAAGGTACTCCGTTTAGAGAGACGTTCTCATCCAATCCATTTTGCCCCTCTTTTGATGAGTTTATGATGAAAAAAGACAACCCCGTCCTTTCCAAGCGCGCGCGTGTGTACCCTGCTCCCTCAGATGCAGAGGTTGACACTGTGTTGGATGCTGCTGGTGTTCTAAGAGAGGGTGATACGGCTGAATTAGGCACAAGTTCGACGGGAAGTGAACCTGCTTTTACACTCTCCGAATTTTCTAGGCTTATCATAATGCTCCGCCATAATAAACATTGTCGCCAATCTGTCCATTTGTTACAGCAAGAGCTGACAAGAGCGCAGCTTGACGCAGGAAGATCTCGGGTCAGTTTCTGGGCAAGAATCGCTGATCGCTTTAATGACCCTTCCGAGCATATTGAGTACTCTTTTGATGGATGGGTCGAGGACGCCGAACCGAGTCTTCCACCTCTTTGCGTTAGAGCGGCATCTGTACTTAAGGACCAGTATGCGCGGACACGCACTGGGTTCACTGTCTACAAAGATAGGTGGGAGCGTTCGGGACAAAACGATCCGGAAATTTTTAGGAGTTTCTTGCCGACGTCGGATAATGGAAGACATAGCCTTACGGCTTTGGGAAAGCGGATGCTTGTTTTTTTAAAAGTTTCCGGGCTGGGGACGCCAAATTGTGACGATGAATTCTTGCGGAATTCATCTCGAGTTATGATGGATGGTGGTTTCGATGAGGGTGTACCATCGTTGCACATGCGAGTCGTTAATGATGGGGTCCGGCCTGCAGAGTCGGAGTCTACAACGGGGCCTCACCGTTGGAGCTTAAGTGGAAACACTGACAAAGCTGCCGGAAACTTGATCACAGAGGTGACAAGCGCGATAAGGGAGTCCGTCTCACGGGAACAGGAGATAAGCCGGCATTGGAATTCGGGTGAACAAAAGAGCGTGGTGTCGCGGGAAGTGCAGTGGTCGAAGGACAAGCAGGACCTCGTAAACGTGCTAGAGTCTTCAGTTTTGAAACTGGAGGCTGCAAAATCCAGACATGCTCCGACGGAATACATCGAACTACTTCAGAGGCACTACAGCGACTCTCTGAAAGCATTCGCGCGCGTTAATGATAGATACGAGAAATGGGTGCAGCGAGAAGTCAACGACGATCAGGACGAGGGATAATTATGGAGTGGGTAGTCATGTATGATGGTGCGCTACAACAAAAGTCGGGATGTGTTGAGCCTGCGTGTAAAACGGATGCCCAATCTTGTCCGTCACGTTCTTGACAGAATTTTGTGAGGCACCTCGTGGCTCGGCCCGTCCAATTCCACCCCCGCGAAAATCCTGAACTTGCGTAGAGCCTGGCATGTCGGCTGCCGTAATGGGTTGGTACGCAGCAGCGCTTTCAACAACGCGTGCCCGTCCGTCGACAGTACCATCCTCGGGATCTCTGCCTTACCCTGATTCCGAGCCCCTTACCCACGCGACAGAT